AAGTTGCTTGAAAAGGCCGAGCTCAACATAAGGAGCGTGTGAAAAGTTAGCTGAAAAAGTCAAGAGCGTAACATCAGGAGCGTGTCAAAAGTTACTTGCAAAAGTCAAGTCGCAACATCAGGAGCGTGTGAAAAGTTGCTTGAAAAGGCCGAGCTTAACATCAGGAGCGTGTCAAAAGTTAGTTGAAAAAGCCAAGAGGGTAACAGCAGGAGCGTGTGAAAAGTTGCTTGAAAAAGTCAAGTCGCAACATCAGGAGCGTGTGAAGATTTATTTGAGAAAGTCAAGAGCGAAAATGAATAGCATGTTGAAACGCAGGCGAAAGGACGTCATTAGCCTCCCTCATCCCATCCCAACCCCCCCAACCCCCACCCCAACCCAACCCAAATTACGCCGGCCCACTTGTGCAAAACGAAACATCAGATCAGTATGCACAGAAACGTTGCGAGCCAGCACGAAACCGTAGCCGTAGCCTCAACAACCACCGGGTCGAAATTGCGCTGCAAAATCCCCCAAATCAAAAGAGTGCACGCATACAGGGCACAAACAACACGAACAACACGAACAACACTAACAACACTAACAACACGAACGGCACAAACAACACGAACAACCAGAACAACAAGAACCACAACCACAACCACAATCGCAATCACAATAACAAACACAATCACATGTAATCACAATTAACAACAACAACAACAACAACAACAACAACAACAACAACAACAACAACAACAACAACAACAACAACAACAACCACAACCACAACCACAACCATGATAGCAATCATCATGATAACATGACATAACAATGAGTGTATTATCATCATGTATACTGTATACCTATATATTTATACATACATATACATATACATATACATATATACATATGTACATATATCATTGCACCTCCATAAGTGGTAAAATTATGTTTTCAACCCTTCCTGGTTTCCCTTCCTCTCCGTTTTGAGGTGGTTCCCCGGGCACTCCCCGGGGCGAGAGCCATGAGCCAAACGTGGGGCCAAATCTGGGATTCTCAGGCCGTCACATCGCTGTGGTGGTAGTCCTTTATAGGGATATCATGGGGATACCACTGGAAGGTCTAGCCAACATTATCCAATGTCTATGCATGAGTATACAACTAAATATTTAGAGAACATGATATTTAAATGGGATATAACCGGGTGTACAAGCAAAACAATGTTATGTGAGTTTGTCCAAACATGGGATATACCCCAAAGTGGCTGTTTTAATGGGGAAAAAATATGATGATTATTGGTGAAATTCACTTTTGCGCGTGGTTAAACACCTTCAACTGTTCATGTGTCACCATTTTGCAGGTGGCCGTATCCTCGCTCCTACCACGACGGCTGCTTGGAGTGACTGAAATTGGCCCCACGAAGTCGCACCACTTGTTTTGACTCAAGCATTGGGGTGACGATATTCTGCAAAATTTGGTGATTGTTGTAAAAGATCCAAGTTTGGAAGTCAGAAATTTGGAGCAACCAGTTGAACTTGGGGGAAGCATCAATTTGATTGGCCAATATTTTTTCAAATGGATGAACACTACCAACCAGGTTACCACAGTCGCGCATATCTTACAATGTGAGATACGGTGTCAGCCCACGTCGGCTGTTCGTGCGAAGAATAGGTAACGGATAAGATCGGGTACTTTCTGACAGCCATCGCGACATTTCCGCATCCTTTCCGGGGAAACATTAAAACACATTGACAGTTGTCCTTCAAAGTTCCGATACTGTTTGGAGGTGTGTGCGGTCTCTTCCAGCCCATGAAGGGGGGGGGCGAAATGGGCAGATTTGGTGCTTGCAGCAATGCCTTTAGGTAAGCTAGGAGGGAGCCAAGGCTGATGGGGAGCCAAGGAGCTACTGTATGGGTTTCCCAAGCACACCTTGTTTCAGCGGGCAATCACCTGGCTATGGAATGTTTGATGGCTTTGAATCCTGGTAGCCGCGATCATCCCGCCTGCACAATGGTTGAAGGGATTCCAAACTTACCCAAAGCACCACTGAACCACTTGCTGAACAGTACTCATGACTACCATAGAGAAAAACACACACACACATATATATATACATACATACATAACATAACATAACATAACATAACATTTACATTGCATTGCATTGCATGGCATACACATTACATTACATTGCATTGCATTACATTACATTGCATTGCATTGCATTGCATTGCATTACATTACATACATACCATGCAGAGGGAAACAAAATACACATAGATACACATAATGTGTTATCTATGTATATGTATATAGTACAATCTGCTGCATGGATGCTCTGCCAAGGCGGGTCCCCGTGTGACGACTCAAGCGCCACTCAAGCGGCACACCCTCGGAGGTAGGGGAGCCGTTTAGCTGAAGCTTTTGATAGGTCAACATGGTGGATTTACTGGGATTTCGTATGTTTTTTCCTGAGAATTTCATTGGATTTACCATCTGGTTATGACTCACATAGCCATGGAAAGATCCACCCATTTTTGATAGGTAAACCATCTATTTCTATGGGCCATCTATACCATGGCTATGTTAAATAACCAGAGGGTAAGGGGATGATCTTTTTTAACGATTGAGAATGGGATGCTTTACCAGCAAAAATGGTGATTTCACGGGGGAAACATGTGGATATAACAGAATATAAATAATGGGGATATAGGCATAAACAAAGGGAAATTAGCTAGGAAAAATGGTGATACACTAGGGTACTTAGATGATTGAAATAATGGGTATAGCCTAGCACCCCCTTGGGTACTCAGATGATGAGATCCTCCAGTGTCATCAAACATGTCAAGCTGGGAAATCCCTGTGTTTCTTGAGATGTGAGATGTTGGGCTGGTTGGGTTGATGAGTCATGGAAGTGTTTTCCAAGAAGAATGCCAGGACATTGGATACCAATGCACAGATCATAGGGGTTTCTTCGGCGTTTATTTACAGTTAAATCTACAGCAAACCCAGCTGAATGGGAGACAGCTGGAGGCGCCGGAATGGGTCCAAGGAGTAGCTGGCTGGAAACCCTGGTGTTTGAATGGGAAAGCGATCTTGGAAACAGGATTTTCCATTGCGAGGTTAGTTTACTGGAGGATAAGAAGCTTGAAGAACAAGCTTTTTGAAGCGACGAGAGGCCCATTTGCCCGGCGAAACTGAGTCACACGACAGCCTCACCTGTAGGATCCAGGTGGGGGCCCGGGGCTGCGAAAGCACGGCATTTTCATTGGATGGCCAACAGCAGAGCCAAGTTTATCATGGTGTACTCTCTGGTAATTTCACATAGCTATTGAAATAGCCATTTATAGTTGATTTAGCCATTAAAAATAGTGATTTTTTCCATAGTCATGTTAGTTTACCCATTTTGTATCGGAGAGTGGCTGGGAGACAGCATGATCATCCCAGGCATGCTGGGAACATCTGAACATCTTAATTTGTTGCATGGTACCAATTCTCCTGCACCTCCATGAGACATCAAAGGATCAAAACCTGCAATTTGTTGCAGTAGCACATCGCCCTTTCAAAGACATTTGGTTGGTGGTCTTTGGCGCCTTTTTCTGGGATGATCCCCTAGACTTCATCATATTGGGTGGAACCAGAACCCTATGGGTGAAGCTAATCTGGGTCAGAATTGAAGGCGGAATGGGTACTGATGATCTGGACTTCTCGCCATTTCTTGCCGTGCTTTTTGCAGATGAATTTGAAGGATCGGATCGAAAGTAGCATCCCACAGAAGTGGCACGTGCGGCACCAAGCTGCTGGGCATGGGGATCCAAAGAGGGGAACTTTCCTCCTTCTGTGCTTGAAAAGTCTGCAATGATCCCTGATAGCCTGGTGAACAAGCTGGGATTCACTGATGTTCATCCCCTCCAAATATGAAATACCCTCTGGTTATGTCAAAATAGCTATTGAAAATCACCATTTTTAATGGGAAAATCCACTATTAATGGTCATTTTCAATAGCTATGTTAAATTACCAGAGGGTAATATGAATCATAGGTCTTGATGCATCCCTGGTGTTTGGCATAGCGACCCAAAGAAGCGATGCCTGTGGCCACCACGAGTCGCAGCCACGTTCCGAGCAATGCGTCAACTCAGCAATGACCTGGGTTTCTGCAAAAGATGGATGCGCTTTCTGGGGCGGGTGCCAGTGACATCGGTGATGCCAGTGAATAGCCTATAGTTATACGTAGTTATAGCTATAGTTGCCATAGCTTTCACACGTCGGTATAGCAGTTATCACTAGCACTACCAGCAATTGGATGGTTGATGGCCTACCTGGCTTGGTCGACCCCAAAAGCTGCGGCGATTGTTTGAAGATTTTGCATGCAGAGTCCAGTAAAACACCTTGAACAATAGTAGGCGTTGTAGTATTGATTGCTATTGTGCAGTTACTTTAGATAATCATCTTGAGTCTCTATTTTTCTGGCGGCCTGATAAAACCAACCTTATCCACTCTGAAAGTCCATAAGGATGTCATCAATGGTGAATGGCTTGCCCTTGGTTCACCGGCTATAGACTCAATGTAGTTGGAATAGAACATAGCAGCATAGCACTTCATCCTATAGGGGATTTTAGATGATTTTAGGGTGAAGGGCTTTTTTTATTCGCTTGACATCGGAATACAACTGATTGAATGCTGATTCGATTCAACATTCGTCTTCGTCGGATCGATGGTTTCGATGTTTTCAATGCAATTCTGTGTTTCCATCCCTGCTTGGAAAGCATCATTCTGGGTGTACGCTATCTGGGGACCCCTCGAATCTTTGGAACGGATCTGTTCCCGTGTCTCCCAATTCTTGGACATCTCCACCAGGGTTTTTGAGTTTCATCCCATACCCCGAACTTTGAATTTCCCCAAATGCGCCATGGTCAAAAGATGCTTTTCCCAGAAAAGAGGAAGGCCATTCCCCGACTTCTAGGGGTTCATATACCCATGAACCGAGGCATGGTGGGATGACCATCCTCTTGGCTCGAGCCCCGGGTTCCCTTTGTCAACTTGTGGGCCGATCACGTTCTCTCCGACTACTGAACCAGGCACCTGCTGAATGTGTCAGAAAAACCTGGGAGCTCCAAGTAGAGTCAGATCAGGTTTTGGAGATTTTTGTAGAACCTACTTGCCAGGCTTCTCGAGAGCAGAAATGACATGGTTGGTAGACCCTGGGGGAGGGAGTACCATTGATATATATATATATAATATACATATATATATATATATACATATATATATACATATACATAAATAAGTATATCTATATATATATATACATATATACATATATACAATAAATGGACTTATCAAGCATGAAAGTGGACCTGAGGATGATCATGGACATCTTGACAGTCTGTATCGGCTTGGGAAAATCTGTGGCAGGTTAATGCCATGAGACATGTGCGGTGCCCCAACAGTTGATGGTCCCCTGGTTGGTGTGGACTGGTGTCATTGTCAGGGACCATTTGCAACAAGGTGTCAGGGCTCGTGGTAGAAACCTTGAAGCTCCAAGCTCGAAGAGAGTGGTTCGAACATGAGAAAGCCATGGGTTTCGGAATCCATTCAGCCAGTTTCGTTTGATGTTTTTTGATGTTTTGTTGAGGAGTCAGGAGTTCACTATGGACTATGAAACATCCCAACATTTGGCAAGGTGTCGAGAATAAAAACATGCAAACAAATGCTGTTGCACTGCATTCTATGCAATATGAAACCAAGTATGTGTTAACCTTTATCAAAAATACGTTGGTAAACATTATCTATACCCAAGAACGGCGAGGGTAGGAACATTATATCTTGCACCATCTCCACATTGTTTTCTTCGGAATAGCTTCTGCTCTGAGGAATGGTAGCTGGTCCGCAGCCGTGCTGTGGCACCTTCCCATGCAAAAACGGCTATCTATGGGTCATCCCATCCAATCCCCTTCGATGTCTATGGGTCGCCGCCCTGAGTTTCATAAAATCATTCTGTATAGTCCCCGTGTGACCTATCTTACTACTGTGCTGTCTATCTTGTTCAGATTTGCAGTGTATTCATCCTGTAGTATGTTTTGTAACGGGTCTCCACTCCACCAAAAAATGTTGAATGTCAACCTCGGATTTGAACAACATCACCACTAGGCTGTTGATCATTGGGGGGAGTATCATTTTTTACAGCATCATTGGTTACTCCAAAATGAATCCAGCAGGGTTTATCCCTCTTTTGGGGTTGAGCAAAATCCCTATTTTTGATCACTATATATCATGAAGTCCCCAGTGTGGAATGGTTGGATCACCAGTTTTGATGCTTAAAATCCCCTGATTTGGCAGTGTCAAAACCTGGTACCCCTGCTAAGTTCACATCAAAATAGCTGGGATTTATGGATGTTCATCCCACTAAAAATGGTATTAGTAGGTATTGATCCATACCCATTTGTTGAACATTTCCCATTTCCCATAGGGGTCTCTGGGGTGATTCCGCGAGCCGCTGCCGCGCTGCCGCTCCAGGCGGCTTCGAAGGGCTGTGCTGTTTCTTCTCTTGACCCACGCGGAGGTGGCACACGCTGTGTACGATGTCCCTAAAGAAACTCTAAATGAAACCCAAACTGAAACCCTAAACGAAACCCTAAACGAAACCCTAAAGAAACCCTAAAGAAACCGTAAATAAACCCTAAATGAAACCCTAAAGAATCCCTAAAGAAACCCATTTGAACGTTTAGAACTCCTGATAAGAAATCCCGATAAGAGACCCTACATGAAACCGGAAAAAACCCTAAATGAAACTCTATATAAAGAAACCCTAACCCTAAAGAAACCCTAAATGAAACCGTAAAATGTAACCCTAAATGAACCCCAAATGAAGCCCTAAATAAAACCTTTAATAAAACCTTTAATAAAACCATATAAAACCCTTAATGAAACCTTAAATGAAGCCCTAAATTAAAGCCTAAAAACGCTCAAGAGACCCACATGAACGTTTGAAGCACCAAAATGTAGCAAATACCATGGAAATCAGAGGTTGAAATGCCAAAATGTGACAAATACCACGCAAATGGAAGGCAAACATGGCCAAATGTAGCAAATACCATGCAAAATGCAAAGTGACCATGCCAAAATGTAGCAAATACCATTCAAAATGACAGGTTCTAGTTCCAAACTGTTAAAATACAAGGCAAATGGTACCGGGAAAGAAAGCCAACAAAAAAAAAACCACAACCTGAGGCAAAAAAAAATCCAAAAACTATTCTACACCCGTTTGGAATTAGGGTTTGGGATTTGTCGTCTAAGAAATGTCAAAGCACTGGCCCTCCGCAGGTATTCGAGCGTGTCGAAGGATAATGTTTGAGCACCGTTCCAGCTTTTCGGGCAAACACCGATTTCCACATATTTTTTTCAGTTTTTTGCTGAAAGGATGGGATGGAAATCCTATACAAACACATTTGCATGAAATGATCACAGATGATAGATATAAACGGTTCACGGAACTCTTAGATTGGCATGGTTAGGTTGTATCTCCGACTTGCAATCCAGAAAGGGAATGCCTCAGTTGCAGCTGCTTAGAAAAACTATCCCAATTTACATTTGGTGGTGGCCCATCCTGAAATCCCCAGTGGCTTTGTCTGAAAATAATCTAATCGGCTAATCCAGCAGTTTCTCATCATTTTCCTTAGTGAAGTGGCCAAACTTTTTCCATGATTTGGGTTGTGTTAAGTCCCCTTTTTTTGTCCATTTCATCATCATTTTCGATAAATTTGGTTATAACATAGGTTATTTTACGATTTTTAAATCACAATTATTGGTCCCAAAAAATATCGACGTCAACGTCAGTTCCGCACGGCGCTTGGACGTGCTAAACACCAGGCGTCCGACTGGGTGGTCGACGCCTGTGAAGGCGATGTGTGGGCCCTCAGAAAAAGACCCAGTCGTGGAACCTGGCCCTGAAGGGAATCCATGGGTGCAGCCAGGGGTGAAAATGATGGAAACCATTGGAAGAAACTCAAAAAAATGGGAAATAAACCCTATAATTGTGGCTACAGTAGTCTCTTATGGGTTATAAAACACGGAGATATGAATGGGGACAATGGGGAGGGTATCACTCAGTTTTTTTCGGGGGGGGATGCCGTGGGGACGTTTTTGCCAAGATGATCCAGTTTGGGTGATTCTGGAACTCTCTCTGTGAGCAACCTTGCGAAACGTCCCTTCGTAGGTCTAAGTTCATTTGGCGGCAAGTTGAGACAAATCACGGGGGAAATTCCTATGTAATTCGCTGTACAATTTCTCCAGTTTTCTGATTATTTGTGTATCTTCGGCCAAGTTGGCCGTTGGGACCTTTTTGAGGGCATTACCATAGTCCCATAGTTAGTGGGGATCATTGTCAACAGGTCCAAGGGATCGGTGAATGGGCACTGTACTAGGGAGGGGTTGGAATGGACTTTCGACAAAAGACGAGTTTACGTCCCATTTTTTTTGTGTCCCCATAGTTGTCGGCCACATACAGTCTAATACTGTCTATCACGATGCTCAACTGTTGTACTCCATTGTCTTGTGGTCCTTTTGGAAGTATATATGGACTGATGATGACTGATGCATGTTAAAATATGCGTCCTTTCCTGTTGTTTGACTGATAGGTGCGACAACCAGCAGGTAAATGATGGACTCCCCAATCAAGGGAATTTAGAAGACACCACTTAGAATAGCCAATGGTTGATATAGATGATATGCCTTCATCTAACTTTATTCATCAGCCACATCCCAGGCATTTCCGTTGTTGCAAATGTCGAGGTTGGCAGCTGGGTCGGTTGAGAAAACCACAGGACTCAAATGGAATCACCAATATTCGGGACATTTGCCAATACTATAGTTTTTTTTTAAAAGGTTTCATGTAGTGTTGTTTCTTGATTATACGTATTTCAATTTCAGTTTTGTGTTGGCGAGATGCATACTTTGTTAGGGTTGCATCCGTTGGACATGATTTTCATGGCTACACTCATTATATCGTTTGTTGCTTGTATCAGTGGGTTGATCAGTGGGAATCCATTGATTGATTTCGCATTACTGATTTTTCAGTATGTCTAGAAGCTTGGAGTTTGCGAGGAAATCATCTATATAAATGAGCAGAAAACTTTGGATAGTGCTGGGTTTGACAGATGAGCGATTTTCAACTGTTTTGGTCTCAGAATTAGTTGAAGGGAACAGAGAGAGCGGACTCTCCCCCCCTGTTTGATGAGACATCAACACTGGTTTGTTGCAAGTTGTCCGTACATTCTACAGCGATTTTCCAGCAGTATCAGTAAGCTTTGATCGGAGTGGGTCCAGGGAACATTAAAAAAATAAAGAACACACGTTTTCCAGTGGGATTTCCCTTAGTCCTTCCCAGGGACACTTTGTATCAAGGCCAACCATTTGGTGGTGATTTCCCAGCAAGCTTAGGTTGGAGTGGATGGTTGATGCGGGAAATCCATTATGCTGTAGAACCATAGACATTGGCTGACTTCATGGGATCAGCAGCCAGTATTGACCTCGTGCTTATAGAACATATATGGACCATATATACTTATCATGAATCCCCCGATATATTGTCATGAAAAAAATGTACTTTACTTCGAGTGATCCACACCATGGCATTTCAAGGCGTATATTCCGACACATATTCTGAGACATTCTATCTGACATTCTATCTGACATTCTATCTGACATTCTATCTGACATTCTATCTGACATTCTATGTGACACAGTGCCCACTGAGATCTGGCTCTCGCAGTTGAGGTCCGGCAGTGCTGAGATCTGGCTCTCGCAGTTGAGGTCCGGCAGTGCCCACTGAGCTCGGGCGCTCGCCGTTGAGGTCCGGCAGTGCCCACTGAGCTCTGGAGCTCGCTGAGGTCCGGCAGTCACTGAGATCTGGAGCTCGCAGTTGAAGCAGAGGCGGGGGTGGAGGTGGGCAGGCCAGCTCTGATAAAATCTAGAGACCCTCGCCTGGCAGAGCCCCTCATATATTGCCGGACATACAATCCCCCCAGCAAGTATAGACCCTGCCAAGTAGGCGCTTGGAGGATTACTTTCCTCCAAAATTGGTTGATTTTCAAGGTCAAACTGTTAGGTGATGGGATGGTTCCCTATTTCTAGTGGTACACTTCCAATTATTGCTGCTTCAATTCCTTGAAGGTACCTTTACAGAGTTTAAGAACCATGAAGAACCATTAATAAGAATCAATAATAGCCACCAAAAAACCATTAAGAAACATTAAGAGACAATTCAGAACGTATCCACTTCCGGTAGATGGCTGCCCTTCCAGGCACAATGCCTCCGTCCCCAACGCAACAATGGCGACCGCAGCGACGCCGATGCTCCATACGTCGCCAGCGTTGCGAGCCTTGGGGCCCGGGGGCCCAAACATGGAGATTTCCCTTGTAAGATCTTGGATGATCAGGCACAATATATATATATATATATATGATATATGTATAATATGTACATATATATATATTATATATATATATGTATATACACATATATGTTTATACATACATATACATATTATTTATGTATATAGATACATATATCATATGTATGTATGTATGTATGCATGCATGCATGCATGCATGTATGTATGTATGTATGCATGTATGTATGCATGTATGTATGTATGTATGTATGTATGTATGTATGTATGTATGTATGTATGTATGTATGTATGTCAATGTATGTCAATGTATGTATGTATGTATGTATGTATGGTATGGTAATGTAATGTAATGTAATGTAATGTAATGTAATGTATGTATGTATGTATGTATGTATGTATGTATGTATGTATGTATGTATATTTGTATGTGTATGTGTATGTGTATATGTATATATATATATGTATGTATATATGTATATGTGTATATATATATGTTTATACATAAACATATTTATGAGATTTTACGTCATTTTAGATGAACACATTTTTTCTGCAGTTGCAATTGTTTAGAAACTGAGGTGGTTTTAGAATATCACTGCGTTATTTTCGATGGAGCTGGAATCATGATGAGTTATTACATGAGGAGGAACCAGATTACCAGATGTTTGGATGGGGTACAATGCCATTGTGAGTTACCTCGAACTGAATACAACTACTAGTTGTTTGGCACTGTGGGGTTCCACTTGTTGGTATCAGGATCGTGTCATTGTTTTTTTTTTGGTGTGTGTATATGTATATATATATATATGTATATTCCACTGTTTGCATCTATGGCAACAAGACTGGTACGAATCAATCAAAACATAGCTGGAACCTGAGAAAACGGGGTGTATGAGCCCAAAGAGCCAACACTAAGCTTCACATAGTTTCACGAAACGCATTCACAAGTGTATCTGGGTAACGGGAATTCCATGACGGTTGGACGCATTGAACAATTCCGTTGTATGGAGATGAAATTATGAATTGAACATTATGGAATCCTGATGATGCTTGGGGCGAGGTTCCCGCATAGATCATGGCCCACTTGTAGATGATTTACCTATCAAAGGTGGTGATTTTCCACTATTTTCCACGGCTATGTTACGAAAGGATAACCTTAACGTTTCTACCCAATGGCACTTTTGCAACCGCAACGTTAAAAAATGCATCTCTGTGAGACTGGGTTGCAATTTGCCCTTCAAAATCACTAAGTCCAATGTGTGCCTTGGTTGCCCCACAAGCAATGGATTTCAGGGCGGAGTGATTAGGCGCACCCACAGCAGTTGGCAATCGTCAGTACCTGACATGTTTGGCTAGGGCTCATTCAGGTTTCAATAATCAGTGGGGTTGGACTTTCTGCACTGCAAGAGACTTGTTTGTGGCTGGTTCTGATACTTCAATTGTTCACTCGTGTGTTTTCTATCCATTTTCTTGAGAAGTGTCAGCTTTTGGAGAAAACCTTAGTCTTCATCCACTTCATCCCAGATTTTCTATGGTTTTTAGGCCAGACTCCCAGATTTCTTTAAGCTGCCGTTGACTCCAAACCTCGAGGCACGGCGCTGCTCCTTTACCGCATCCTTCGGTGAGGTCGGGGATGACCCAGTTGGGTGGCGCTGTTATTAGGGGAGTTATGGGGGATAACGGGCAAACCATGGCAGTTTCAATGGGATAGTGATGATCAACCATCAAAGAACTGAGTTTTTTTTTTTTTTTCCGAGTTTTTTTTCTCGATGTTTTTCATCGTGATTTGGGATAAAAAATTCGTAGAAGGACTAGGGACCTCGTATTTTTCAGAGGGACGACTCTAGCCACCGATCTGTTGGGGTTATGGCAATGGCGTGACCTCACCATGTGTGGATTACCGGGGAGGATTTGACCCGCATAGCACCTGTTTTTTGGTTCGGAAAGCGATGATCACCACGATTTCGGGTGAACATTTTTCCCACAAACACCATGGGGTCATTAAGTTGATGCAGCTGGTCAGTAAGTTACATCGTTCAAGGAGTCAAATCATCAACATTGGGCTTATGGGTTATGGTTCTTAATTGCTAATGGAAACGTTGGTTGTGTAAATATCGGTTTATGGCATTGGGTTTTCAAAAGATTAGACGTCTTGCGGTGGAATGTTGGATTATTCACGTCGCTTCGCGACGGCAACCGCCCGCACCGCATCGTTGGGCTCACACCTGAGGTTGTGTGGTGCTGCCTTGCACCAAGCAATAAATTTGAAAGCTTTATAAGTATCATATCTGCAAGATGTAGGCTTTTGTTGTCTGGACGCTCCACACTGGCAAAGATGTCGGCCAACCAAAATAGATAGAGAAAGATAGACCGATAGATAGATAGAGAGATATCTATATATATATATATAAAGATCATATATGTACATATCGAGTGAACGGTCCACACTGTTAATGATGTCGCCATTGTTCTCTTCTACTGCCATTGTTCTCTTCTATTGCCGTCGCTCCGTGATAAGAACCCCTGTGCGGCCGCCACGGTTTGAACGATGTTGTTCTCACACCTTCGCGACCGCTCGTAACTGCCAATGATGTCGGCCATTGAGACCAAAAACATCCGAAAGTACTGATTGTCGGAAAAAAAACCGCGAAGAATTTGATAGCCATGTATAGCGGACCAACGCAGTTCAAAAAATAACGAAAAACATGAAAAAACGGCGAAATTGATTTACAGTGTTTTTGCTTGCAAATACCATGGTTTTTGAGGGTCAGGTGGCCAAAAACACTGTAATTTACAGTGTTTTTTTAACCAACGGGTATTTACGATGTTTTCATTCACACCGTAACATAAAACAGCGTAATTTACGACTAGCCGTCAAGCATGCATAAAAACCAGTGTTTCTGCTATCACAAAACGACGAAAATCAGTCCGAAAACGGGTCCAAAAACTCAAAAATACCTAACCGCAAAAAAAGATGTTGCAAACCAAAAAATTGACTAAAAACACACTTTTCGCTTGCCGATTTTGGACGGGCGCGTTCACTATGTTTTTTACTGATCAGTGATTTATCATGGTTAGATGATTTATATCAAGGGTATGGTTATCCCGTCATTCACGGGCCATTAATCCCATCCTGTGTTCATATTCAACCCCCCATTCTATGGTCCCAGTCATATGTGATTTCATTCCCTATATGGTGACTCTTGGAAGTGTTTCTTTGGGCTGAATTCTTCGCCATTATGAAACATTAGCCATTATAAATCACTACTAACCATGATATTCCTATCTGATAGTGATTTATCATGGTTAGTGATTTATAATGGCTAATCACTAACCACTAACCTTTATATCCCATTCATGACACTGGCGGCTGAACAGCCTCGGTTTGCCCATGGGTTTGGTGGCCCCCGAGGTCCCATGCGTCCGACGAAGCAAGGCACACTGGGATCATCCATATTTGAGTGTGAAGAGATAAAACCAGGGCTTTGATCCCTGGCCATATACATGCAAATTTCATACATGTATAGATAGATATATATATATATATATATACATAATATATATATATATATCTACAATATAATATGTATGTATTTATACAGAGATGAAGTTGTAAATATTCCTGCTGCTGGCAGTCGATGGTTAGAATGCCCTTTTCAATAGTGATAGTCTTTAACATATGGGCATCTTGGGATTCCAAATCACTTTCGCACACTTGGCTAGTGGTTTTAAATGAGCATTTAATTTAGCATTTCTACAATTTCGGGGCCTGATTGGCTCAACAACTGCTGAATTACCAGTGCTGAATTCTGCGATGCTCAGGATTTCATCAAGCCAGTCCATGGTTCATGGGAACGTAGTGAGGATATCATGGGAATATCATGCATTATTGATGATCATTAATTCATGGGATCTAATTCACCCATGAAATTGGGCAAGTCGTTTTTTCAGAAACTCATAAACTCATGAAATTGTGGAGATCTAATGGGGATATGACTAACAATATCCACTTGGATGAGGATGTTGATAATTTCTTTCCACCCCTATACAGGGGTTTCAAAAAAGAGACCATATTTTCCTTATAGTTTCTGCGTGTCCAACTTTTCTATCTCTTTGGTTGCTCTATGTATGTATATTTGTAGACACATAGATATGGATATAGATATAGATGTAGATATAGCTATAGATATAGATATAGATGTAGATACCCATTTAGCCATTGTGAAGCCAGAGGGTACAGTACAGCACGCATCTGGGGGTCGCTATGCTGGCAGGCCCAACCACTCGGAGGAAGACTCGAAGGGGAACTTTGTTGGCCAGGCAGCTGCGGCCCCGCGGGCCGAGGAGCCGTGCCTTTGGGAGTGGCGGACGTGTATTGAGGGTGGGTGAGGGGCAAATGACCCACATGCTAAGTGGTGATATGTGTAACTGTATATGTAAATGTATATGTGTATATACATGTGTATATATGTAGATGAATATATGTGTATGTTCATATGTACATGTAAATGTACGTGTAAACATATATGTAATATGTACATGAAACTATACATGTATATATATATAAATACATGTATATATGTAAATGATATGTATGTGTATATGTATGTGTATATGTATATATATATGTACATATGTATATATGTACATGTATATATATATATATGTATGTATATATATGTTGTTGCATGGAGTTCTGGAGTAGATAGTGAGAGCGGTGGTGAATCATGTCTATGTCTGCTGCGCATTTTCCATGAAACTTAGAAAGGTGGGAAGGGTGGGGCCGCCAAAGGATCTCAATGATTTGACCGAGACCGATGGAACTTAAAGCACATCCCAATGATTTGGGTGTTTTACAACCAGTATTTACCTCGGGCTACTTCAATCTACTTCATATACAACTGGGGTATACTAGGGTTATGCCCAACTTACAAACTGGGATGCACCCCGAGGTAGGGAGTGCATCATAATTTTGCGGCAGCCTGAAAAATATCACCAGCACATATGCTAAACAATGAACCTTAATTTGGTGTTGGCTGGGGTCTTAACTTTCGGGCCTTAAGCAATGTAACAACTGAATACCAAAAATTGGTGGTATAATTTGGGGCTCATATCCATATGAATAGATATGGCATACCTTTCTCAGCATGAGAACGTTGAATTTCTTTGACTGCGAGGACTCAACCCTGCCCTTCAATAGTCTGGGAGCCCTGGGAATCCATCTCATGGTCAAAACCCAGTAGCACAGGAACTTCCAAGTAGGTAGAATTCTTTTGTTCGGAGTTTTGTAAATGATGTTTTCAAACGCCATGGTTTCTGGGATTCCAACTTTTCTATCTATTTCTGGGTTTGTATCATTATATATGAGTATAAGTTGCAACCCTCCACGGCATCTGCGATCGGAATTTTCACTAGGATTGTATAAACAAACCCCGAGGCAATCAAAGAGGTCAATTGGACATCCCAACTATTGCGGCAAAACACCTACCTGAATGGATGCAGATAGCATTTTTTAAAAACTTGTTAATGTAGATTCCGTGAGGTTTGCCTCAAATTACCCCAACTCATTTTCTGGGTTCAGCGGTTTCAACCATCTTTTATGTTCACATTGTATGGATGATCCCCAATGACTTTCATATTAGCGTCGATGGTCACCAGTCAAACTGATCGTCTTGTGGAGCTGGAGCCAAGGTCAGACTGCTTTTCCCATGAATGGAACCAGCCCGGATGGCAAGTGGGGTCACCTGTTCTTTTCAAAAGGTCAAAAGGTGCTGACATGTCGGCGAAACATGTCTGTTGATCTACCCTGAAAGTGGAAAGTATAGCCAGTTTTCATGACGGCGTTGGAGAACGAGGTCAGGCCCCCAAAACAGTTCGGGAATGGAGAACGAGGTAGGAACACCCCATCTATTCCGTGATGTGCCACATACTTTCCGCGGCTCATCTTGTTCTATTATACACACAAATCACCACATGGAGGATGCTGTTTCCGTTTCTATGTTTCTTTACTACCAGTAGGTAGTTTCTGGATATTTCTGGTGACATTTGCTGACCCTCTGATGGCAATGTTTCCCAGCTGGCAATGGAACATTTTTCATTGATGTCGATGATTTTGCGTTTCCAAGAAGATGGTATCCTTTATTGCCAGGTTTGTTTTGCGCGAGGGTATTGTCTATATATGTGGATATGCCAGTTAACTGGGGCAATGCAGCAGGTTTCAGCCATGTCAAAAACCTCCTTGGTCGTGGCTTGGATCTTCAACCTCGGGGACCCCCAAAATCAGCCACCATCTTACCAATCGAAGGACAATCCTTAAACCTTAAACCAAAACAGATCTCCAAAGACAGCGTGAGTTGCTGATTCCTTTTTGTCGTCTACCAGGCGCTAAGAAAGACACGTGACGTGCTGTTGTCACCAATAGGTGTTGATTCAGCGTTGATTTTGGGGGTGGAGCTTTGTGACCTGGCTCCAGCTATTGGTGGATTGGTTTTTCTATGTTTTTCCGGAAAATCGTGACCGGAAAGCATGGTTGAATTACCCCAAATACAGGGGGTTTCTGCGGTTTCCAATTTGATGCTGGCGATCCTTCAGGAAACTGCTAATGTTTGAAGATGTGTAATTCAACCCCATGGTCGCACCCAAATTTAGACCTCTGGCAATACAACCTGGCAACGTTTCCTTTGTTTTGGGATATCAAACAAGATTGAACAGCTTCGAAACGCGATTTTTCATTGCCCCATAGGGTACCCATGTCTCAGCTAGGATCATCACGCGTCGTATGCGCGAGAAGCAGTTGGGCCGTACGGGATCCTGGGGATCCTGGGGATCGTTGGGCAGCTGTTTGAGGACCAGTAGTGAACAGATTGACATCCCATAAGCTATTTTTCGTAATTGGTTAGTGGGGTTAGTTTTCCCAGCTACCAGGGAAAACCCAAGAAACGGGCCCTTGTTAACCTACCCTCCGGTGATCAAACATGGCAATTGAAAATCCCCGATTTAGAGATGAATTTCTGAGCTTGTTACATGGCAAAAGACCATCGATGTTCGTCAAGATCCCAAATAAAACCTGGTGGTTTCCAATTCTTTCGATGGTAAAACAACGTATTTTCTGGGTGAACTGGATTTCTTGGGGTAGGTGAACCCCAATTTTGCTAAAGTGTCCTTTTTTTCTGGGTCACCGTCTGCATTTTTGGAGTTGCGAAACGCAACGAATTCATGACGTTGACACCCAAGGTGAGGCGGTGTCTGCGGCGGCCCTGATCATGATCTTGATTAGTTTTTCTGTGGGTCGGCAGCCCAGGAATCCAGTTCAATATGTTTTTTTTGGCAATGTATATATATATATAACTACTTATATAGACGTACATGGGTTGTGTACATGGGTCATGTCAATATGGATTGTTACTGTATGGAATATGCCTTTCCAGTTACCAGATCTTGGGCTGGATCAATACCTCTGAATGGCTCCAGGTACGTGAGAAAATCATGCGCTTTGGTAGTCAAAATGGTTGGGAATCCTGCATAAATGACGATCTAAATGAGAAAGTCATCCACAAATGGATAATTTTCTATTGCCATGTTTGATTACCAGAGGGTAACAGCTTTTCAGTTGACCGTCGTTCATGATTGTCATCGGGAATGTGGAGTGGTACCACCTCGTTGCATGGATTTATGGGGGACTATGGTCCAATGTGCACGAAATGCAGGTCTCACAATCTTACAATAGGAGCTAGCTTTCTCTGCGAAACAACCGTGACATGGTTTGACATATTTCTATTTCCCAGCCCAAGATGAGATGATGACACATTTTAAATATTTTTAAATGACTAATGACACGTAACGCATATGACTTTTTCAGGATGTTTCTTTACATGTTTCAAGCATCAGATGTGTGGAACCTGGAAGCTGTGGCCTGGCGGATTGACAGGTCTCCAGCTCATCATGGTCGAATTCGTGATGACCGGCACGTGCGCTTGTATGCCCAGCGGATGAGAGAATGGGTTCCCAGCAGATCCCATCCCCGAAAAATCACTGGGTTGCTTGGGGAAGCCCTGATGTTTACATTTCAAATACGGGTTTCCTGTGGGACAAGTGTTGGAAAAGATGGGGATCTGCCAAACCTATCCAAACCTTGGAACATGGAACAAAAAGCCGCCGAAAACTCAGGTTTGTCCCCAACAAATGGGTTGGTTTATTGATGAACAGGATGTCACTTAAGAACAGTGGGGGATGTAGATGACTGCCATCGCCAGGCTGACGCCAGGATGAAGTCTTTGGCCCCGTTTGGCGATGGTTTATACATATTGACATATTTATACCAGCCATTCCTAGTATAATTGAGATGGTTCAGAAAGTGGGGCTTTACTACAGTAGATTTGCGGAAACGTTCCATATAGTTCCATGATTCTCCGGTAGGCCCCTTCTCTTTTGAGATTTCTATGATTTCTTGACCTGAATTTCCATTTGGTGCACACCAGACTGTTCGTAAAAAAAACATCCCGATCTTTTCTGAGGCAATCCCTCGGAACATTGCAGGTGCAGCTGGTCGCGTCGGAGATTAAGGGTTTGGATGAATATTTGGGGATGGGTCAAAACCCTGGTACCTAGTGAACCCCAAAATAGCTGGTAAATGGATGTTCATTCCCCTAAAAATGTATCTATAGGTATTGACCCATACCCATTTCTTCTTGCTGGCTAATACTGGAATCGGTGGCTTAATGTTTTTGAAATATGTCTCATGTTGCCATGAGGAAGGAATACTATGGAATACGCCCAATTTGATGAATATGAATCTTCTTGGGCGACTCCCCCTGCTCAGTTTTCGATGGTGAAGTTTTTGCCGGCTCTTTGCTGATCAGCAGGGACGCTGGATCTGGTTGTTTCAAACACGCTAGATTTCTACCTTCCCTTTTCCTGAGTAAACATGGTTTGAAACCCAATTGACCACAATTGACCAATATCATGAATCAAATTTCTGGCGCCAAACTAGTGCTAAGAATGGTCTTTTTCATTGGGGATACACGGATACAATCATTCTACTCCAGAGCGTAATTTTTTCGGACGTTCCTTTCCCAGCGCAACAAACTCCGTTCTTTCTAGTCATTTATTATGATCAATCCATATTATTCATCCATCATTATTGTCATGATTTATCCAGCCTATCCCCAGCCCTTTTTTTTAAAACGAATTTTGGGGTGGCGAAGGGGCGAAAATTTGGCGAATGCCAGGAGTGTTTCTGGCGATGATCCTGACCATTACGGCGGGCCTACGGTCCTTGGTGCGCTTTGTGACCGCGCCTTTGAGGTGGGTCGGACGCGGGGTCCGACGCTGGGGGGTTCCATTAAAATGGTACCCCTAACCATCGCTGGATGGTGAGAATTTCCATGGAAAAAGCCAATCTAATAGCTGGATGATAAAACCCCCCATGACTTTGGAAACCTCCATGTGTGGACTATTCTTTCAACTTGACTTGGAACAGGATAGCAGAATTGAAATGATGGCACAATTGGCTTGGCAAGATGGTTTCTCTACTGAGGGAAGGAACACAATTGGATACAGCCATAAAATCACGTGGCAAATTCTCAAGAAGAACATCAAACTCTGTAGTTTGGGCTGAACATTTGACACGCATCACTAACACAGTCAATGAAATGGCCTAGAGTCGTTTGCAGGCCTCCCTGCCGCTTCTTTTGGCACTGTTGCTGTATTTGTTGCTGTCAGAGCCTCAAGGGTTAACTTTCCATGTGGAGAGCTGCACATTCTCCACATGCCTGAGGTTCCTGGAGAAAGGGCAAGGTGCGTTGGTGGCGATATGAGAATACCAAGACACAGCCTATCAATGGCTGGAGATAGTTCCCATATGTTTTGGGTGATGGATGTCCCGAATAGTCTCAATCTCCAACATATGTCTTTGTCTTAATTGATGGATTGATTGATTGACTGAGTGACTGATTGTCTGGTTGATATACGTATGTACATCCATCCATCCATACATCCGTCATACATCGGTCATCCATCGGTCATCCATCGGTCATACATCGGTCATACTTCGGTCAGACATCGGTACATCCATCCATGCATCCATGCATGCATACATACGTTCCCAGAAAAACAACAATCCCCACTGTACGAGGAAATCATGCGCAATTGCCCCAGCTGGCGTCGCCAGGGGTCAGCGCGTCCACCCGTGACGCAAAGTTTGCCAGAGCCTGTGATGGAGCAGGCTGGGGCCTTGGGGGTCGTAGGTTAGAAAATTACCCCAAAAGCATCCAAAAGCAAACAACAACAAAAACCATTGAAGGATTTTTGTAGGGTTTTTCTTCCTCAAATGCCTCAAATCAATGATTTTCTAGCTCTAGATGTTTTCCCATTTTTCCCCTAAGTCAAATTTTTGTTGTTTTTAAGGACCTTTTCCTTAAATCAACTATGTCTTTTAGTTTTTGTTTCCTGAATCTGTTTCCTTGATTTAGCGAAACACTACAATATTATTTTTCGTATTGCAATTTCAGTTTTTTTCATTCAGGTATGTTTTGTGATACAATTTAGACATTTGTTATTCTCCTGCAAGTGAATTATTCATTGTCTGTTTTTCTTTTTTTGGCAAAACCAATTATTTTTCTTTCAATTGAAGGAGTCGTTCCTTATCATTAGACAACATTTTCTAAACAAAAATAAATATGGTTCCGTTTTCATTGAATTATTGTTTTCTTAAAATTGCTGATTCTTTTCCGTGCATTCTTTGTAATTATGATGTTTTTCTGAAAGAAATATTTGTGGTAGTTTTACAGTTTTCTTCGTTGAATTGCAATTTTTGGGCAGTTCATTTTTTTGGCCTCTGACTACGTATTTGTGTTGCAAATTTGTTTTTTCCCTTCAATTAGTTTTTTTTCCTGATCTTTCTTGGATAGATCTATTTCTGTTCCAAGACAAACTTTATCTTTGGATTCTAGATATCTTGTCTTTCCCGGATTTTTGCTGTTGTTCTTGTAGTAAAAAGGGCCCTTTCTCCATCCTGTGCAAGGATGTGCTTAAGGTGATTTGAGTTTGTTTTGCCTCTATTGTCGTAATGAAAGGTTTCTTTGCTGATATTTTTTTTGGATCTTTCAGTATCTGTTCTCTTTCTGTCTGTGGATTGCCTTTCAACACTGCCGTATTTGTGTGCTGAGAAGCGTTGTAAATCGGGGACTTCATCATTCCGAAGCTCCAAATCGCCATTGAAAACAAGACTAGCTGCCAGCTGCCGTGAGACTTGGCCGAGTTTCAGGTGGCGGCCTTCCTGAGCCTGGATAGCATGTGTGAGTTGGGTTTGGGAAACTCAGAGTTAGATGGTCAGAGATGGATAGAGATGGGGGTTTCCTAAAATGATCGAGAAACATGAGAAACATGATTCCCAAAATGTTTCTGTAGGTTAACCATAGGTTAACCATAGGTAAACCATAGGTTAACCATAGGTTAAGCTATACTAAGGCATGGTCCATGACGATTAGATGATTTGGATCCAACTCAGATGTTTTTTTTTTCGCCCCAGTCACTGGGGGATTGAGTCAGGCTCCGGGTTGATGGGAAAATTCACCGGAAAGCATCGATTTATATAGGTTATATAGGATATATATATATATGTAAATGTATATATACAATTATATACACATTTATATTATATATATACACACATTTATGAAAATACAGTGGTCGGGGTGCTCATATTTTTCTTCACTGACCCTCTGGGAATCGAACACGGAAACAGAACATCTATCATTAATACCTCTGGTTAGTAATAGTAAGTTCCCGAATTGGGTGACCCCATGTCATGTACTTTGTCATGTACTTTCATAAATGTCTTATCATGCTATTTGGCGTATTTTGTTTCTGTGATGTGTATCCTCCTGAACTATTTCCCTATCATCCTAAGTGAGTTAACCGATCTATAAATAGGCTATAACTATAACTTATAACTATGGCTATTACAGAAACAGCTTGGTGGGAATCCCTAGAAAAATCACCATTTTGGCTGGTGAAATTGTCATAATTCCATATAATTCCACCATAAATCGCCATTCTGTGGTGAAATCCCCAGCAGATCTGACATTTTTCTCGAGAAAACAGTGACCAGCAGAAGTCTCAGGGTGTGCCTCCAGAAGCTGCCACGATGTGGTGAACAGTGAGAGTTGCTACGAGGTGCTGATGAATGAGGCACGGGCAGCTCCGGGACCATCCAAGCGGTGATGGGAAGTGACTAATGGAGATACCTCTAGCCATTTCAATCGGATGACAAGGTAACAACAAATTAACACCAACTTATTCTGTTCATGTTCCTAACCAAGAACATGCAGGGTATCTTAATTTAGGCATTACTTGTACAGTAGAGGTCCATGAGAGTAATTTGTTTTGGTCTTTGTTCCAGGTTGACATGTTCATGCTGTGCAGATTCAGTTTCGGGTCTCACAGCTGGTGTATCTTCCTCCCAAACCCCAAAAAACCATAGTGCTATCTTCGTTTTTATGGGTATGGGTATGGGTAGACTTTTCTGGTTGGGTATGGGTCAAGTTGGGTATCAAACTTTAGTCAGTCATATTTTTTCCATTTTTTTTTTTGGTCAACTTCGAGGGTCGACCAGATGGTTTCGGAACGTTTCGTCGACGTCTTCCGGCAGGTGAAGAGCAGCGGTACGGATGCCGAGGGAGTCTGTGGTGAAGTTCCGTGCAGCAGTTGCGCCGAGGGTGCCCCATTTCCATTGGTTCACTTCTGGCAGTGTGTCAAAACCTTGTACCCCTGGTGAACATCAAAATAGCTGGTAAATGGATGTTCATCCCCATAAAAATGGTATTAATAGGTATTGATCCATACCCATCTAGCAATTGGGGTTTATGGTATGGGTATGGGTCAAAATTGGTATTTTTATAAGTGACAAGTGGATTTTTTTTTTTTCAGATCGAATTCAAGCTGCGTTTTTTTTTTTGGGTCCATAGATTTTGACCCATAGAAGTTTTTTGAAAAGTCTCGTTGATAGGGATTCCCGTATGGATTGTGATCTTTTTTTCATTATATTATGGATATATATATATGGATAGTACAATCCCCATCATCAACCAACAGGGATAGATCGCAGCTGCTGAAATATCCATAGTCGATTCATATAGATAGAAATATCAATGCTTTGTATTCTATAGTTGATTCATGTTGATTCTATAGTAACTGGGGGGGTAATAAACCAACTTACAACTTGGGAGCTTCAACCTGGCTCCCAAAAGGACCCAAGGGTCGAGGAGCCTTGGCCGAGGCTGTTTTCGGAAATGAAGGTCTTCGGCAAATGGGCAACGAAAATACAGGGACCAACGATGGGGAGTCATTGCAGTACTTACTTTCTATATGATGGTATATCTAATAGCTCTATATATTTTATTCTCCCAGAATCTTTTTTTTCTCGGAATCTTTGTGCACGGGTAAATGTCTGATGTTGTTTAATTTTTATGCACATGGGTATTCTCGCTTGTAATTTATTGTAATCCCATCCCCCTGGGAGCTCAGGCCTTGATCAGCGTTGGGAGCGCCATGTCCGCCACAAGGCCGTGAAGGGCATGAAGTGATGGGAAAGATGATGATTCTGACCGGTTTGGGTGGGTAGAGTGGGTAGAGGGGTGTTGAGATGCCCTGAATTTCCGAAGATTTCACACATGGACATGAGAAAGTCACGGGTAGTTTTTTTTCAACTCAGTTTTATCAAGTTGGGGGTCAAGAAGTTTGAAAGAGAGCTAAGTTTGCTGATCCTTTACTAAAAAGACTTCAAACACCTTCATGAAGACTTCGGCTCAACAAAAACGAAACCAGGTGGTGTTCATCATGGTATTGCCCCACCAGCTGGTTTTCCTTCAATATCGAGAGGAGTTAAACTTGGATCCAAAGATTGGATGGCATAACAAAACTGACCAGTTGGTGGTTTTCCATCTTAGTGGTCCATGCTGAATCCAATTCCTTTTCTTGGGTAGTCTGATTTTCTGGGAGGCGGCGACCTTTTGGTGGCGAAATTCCGAGTAAATTGTTGATCATATCCACAGAAGAGTCAGCCATTTCCCCAATTTTATAGGAATTCCCAAGGGTTGCGGAAAACGATGATCGTTCTCATAACGGTTCATCTGAGATGTGTAAACCTGGATGTGGAAAAATGGGGAGCACCAAAAATGATGTATATCCCCAAAATGGCAAGGGATGAATAGGGAAAAATGGTGACTAGCCCATGGATTCAGGCGCGCCCTATTTCAGACAAACCCATATAGTTCTTAAAGTTAGTCTTTGCATTTTCCCACAACAGATGGTTCATCTACAATGTTCTTGTTTGTTCCTCAATGATATTGCTTTGAGAGTTGATGTCACGATCTTTGCTGGTCAACACTTCCATCTCCACTTTTTGATGCTTATAGTTTTATTGTTACATGAATAAACAAATAAATACATAAATAGATGAATAAGCAAATAGATACATACATACAAAGTAAATGAATAAGCAATCAAATCATCACACAAACAAATACATAAATCAAAATAAACAAATCAATACAATACATAATTGATACACTAAATACATAAATGAATGAATCAATTCAAGAATGAATACAGCATATAATATACACACTTTGCCCTGTTTGATAGTCAACCTCTCCAAGTTCATTGCTTTTGACGTAGACTGCTCAGGTAACGATGGGTGAGAGTGAAAGCAGTAGTAGCAGTGCCGATACTCCCGAGGCGGGATCTATGTTCATGTAACATACCCCCTTGAAAAATTGAACATCACCCTGAAACTTGGGTTGGTTGTAAGATCCAAGTAATGTGGTAATGGTAAACTCCATGTCATAAAACCCCTCAGGTTGGAGATAGTTTCAATCCCAGGCATTTCTTGTACAATTGGGACGGTTATTTTTTGGTTTGCTGGAAGGGTTCCAAAATTAGTGATGGTTCATTTCTGGTTCATACCTCTAAAATGCCTCCCATTTTTGATGAGAAATGATGAGTGGCCTGAGGCCGGGGCCTTTTGGGTTGATCTATATAGATAAACAGCTGAATGGGTTAGATCTTTAGTCGCGGTGGCTTTTTCACATTGCCGGGAAATGACGCATTTCGATGGTTCGGGGTATCTTCGGGTTAGCAACTTTTTTCGGGTTTTCCTCTTCCAGGTTTTAAATCTTGGCAATAGGAACAACCAACCAGTAGAACCAATTCTTGATAGGTAAGTCAATAGATATTGATATTGAAAATGACTCAGTTGAAGTGATACACAATAAGGATGGTTGATTGGTTGTATAGATAGAGGGACATTCACAAGCAGTATCGAGGGTAGTGCAGCGCCAGCCAACAAACAAGAAAGATGTGACACCCGAAACTCACCAACAGACCAAGGGTTCTCTATACTTTTGTTGACATGCTGCGCATCAGTGGAAGTGGGGGGTTTGTAATGGTTAACCACAAAAAAAAACACTGTGGAGACAACGCTTCTTTGAAATATCAGGTTTTACACTTTTTTTCCTCTTTTTTTCTGGATCACCTTTGTATTAGACTAGATAAGAAAACCTCAGAGTCCCTGAAATATGGCAACCTTTCTGAACATTAACCATACTTTTGGCGTTTTCTCACGGTGCAGGGCCAGGCGTCAAAGCTAGCCTCCAAAGAGCAAAGCTTTGAGAACTTGCCTGAGGCAGGGGGAGCATCGTTGGTTGCAACTGTGATGGGGATATAAAAGGGTGGATATGGAGGTTTCTTAAAATAGGGATACCGGGATACCCCTGAATCATGCATTTCTATAGAATTTTCTATTATAAACCATCCATTTTGGGGTATCCTCATTTATGGAAACCCCCATATGAAATGGGAAACCATGGGATATTACGATATTACCATTTTGGTAATCCAAGATATTTGTCAAACACCGCCATTTTTAATAGGTAGATCATCTACAAACGGGCCGTGTAACAGTTATCTTATTACCAGCAGGTAGTAAAATTTGGGGTTTGCCCAGAACATGGGTGAATTTTTACTATTTGCAATGGGGATTCACCATCGAAGATAGGGATTTAAGCTGGCAAAGAATGGATCTCATGGAAAAACCACATACCCTCTGGTAATTTAACGTAGCTATTGAAAATGACCATAGAAATAGTGGATTTTCCCATTAAAAATGGTGATTTTCAATAGCTATGTTAAATTACCAGAGGGTAATGACCGGACCTAACAATTATCGGTTTGGTGATATAGTGGGATCCAAAATGGGGGTCAGATTTTAGCCCCCATAAGACTGCCGATGGGCCGGTGATTTTTAGAACTAAGCCTCCAATTTTGCCCAAGTTTGACCCATACCAAAAGGGGGATATGAAATGGGATAGTATGGGATGTATCTTATACAATATATATATATATATAATATAATATATATATATATAAAATAATATATATATATAATATAATATATATATAATATACAATGTATATATATATAATATAACAGTATACAAGCGTCTCTGGTTTTTCTATATGAGTTTTCCCAGAGATTTGGAGAACCATGTTGCCCGCAGAGCCGAGCCTAACGTCACATGTTTGCCACCGTGATTTCCCACGCGTTGCTCCCCGATTCGTCATTTTTGACATGGTTGAGCCCAAGATGACATCATATATCCCCTGGTAAACTAACATAGCCATTGAAAATGACCATAAAAATAGTGGATTTTCCCATTGAAAATGGTGATTTTCCATAGTTTTTTGTAAACGTTTACCAGAGGGTACCATGTTTGCCACGGTTCCACCCCCCGTTTTCTCCAGTAGCTGCATGAATTCATTGATCCACGGCCCCCATCCTCTGGGCGCCACGGTCTTCTGATAACATAACTAAGGAATGAATTAAATCCGCCCCAGTGAAAACAAACCATGAACGGATGCAAATGCAGGGTGACTTCACCAACAATGGAACTGCTTTTTGGGAGATTTCGTTTCCAAATGCAGTGATGAAACTTCGCAATGGGATGGACTGTTCCAAATTTCCAGGTGTTGCGCCAGGGCTTCGGGCAATATTTCAGCACCAGTGAGGATTGTGCAAAAGCCCATTTGGGGGGGAATGTTGCACCAAAAAGTGATACGTGTCCAAATATGACATGGACATACACACACATATATATATATACATATGCATGTGTGTGTGTATATGTATATATATATATATACATATACATGTGTGTATATATATATATATGTATATATATATATATGTACATATACACATGTGTATATACATGCACATCTACATAGCATACATTTGCATATGTACATATGTATAGCTATCTAACATAGATCCATGACGATCCATGTATTGCTTCTTGATTTTTGATGCCAGGTGCCAAATCATTTAGTCAAAGAACTCCGGACCTTCCTCTGCAAACAAGAGCGCAGGAGAGGATCTGGTGACATGTTGAATTCAATTAGGATGAACCAACCCGAATAATGGTATTAATGGGGATGCATCAGCAACATCTGGATAATTTACGACAACCTCACTGCGACGTCAGCCACATGCATGTCCTAATTTCCTGTGGCACCATTTATTTTGTAGAAACACAACAGATCTATATACCACATTCTCTCATGGTTTGTGGGCGGTGTTTGGTCGGGGAAAGGATGACTGGCATTTCATTCAACCAACAGATATCTCACAATGCGATTCCAATTCTATAGGCCCCCAAAAGCTATAAAAATGCCCCAAGATAGAATGACGGTCCGTGCACTTCCTTACTTTTCTGGTCGATTTGGAAACGGTATCCAAACATTGACCAAACTGGTTTGGAACCTGTGGGTAGATCCCTAGGTAACAAGTCTGATGTGACAGATGAACAACCTTGCACCAACACCACGACTGAAACTTGGTCTCGGGGGCTACATGGTATCGCCACGACTGAACATTATGCATGTGGTGTTTGGTAAATCTTCTTCAATACATGATATACCCAATAGATAAGATCAGATTAGCTTAGAGTAGATGAGATATAGATGAGATTAGATAGACATAGATGCGATTGGATAGACATAGATGAATTTCGTTTCAGTTTAGATTGTGTATATATATATATACTGTATGTATATATATATATAAATAGGTATGTATGTAAACAGTGTATATCAGGAAAAAACATATATAAATTAATATAACTCATAGATTTCCATGATATTCTCATGATGTTCTCATGATTTTCCAAGAGAAATCAGCAGGATCAAGGCCAAGGCAGAGGAGAAAGAGGTGAACGAACGCTGGGATGTGCCTTGGCGAATTGGGCCAAGGGAGGGCTACACCTGGAGATATAGATGGATTGATATATGAATAGATAGATGTGTGTATATATATATATGAATAGATTGATACATATATGCGTATATATATATATATGTATATATATGTACTCATTTTTCATCACCAAAGTCGTGGAGTTGAGAAAAATAGAGAGTGAAACAGGTAAGAGATCATTTTTACCGACTCACGAAGGGATCATTTTCCATGCAAAACCGAGGTCATTACGGATGTGGTGCGCTACTGCATGCTGGTAGCAGCTTGGCTTTGATTGGGTGTAACTGACCCCCTCCGTTCGCACTTTTATTTCAAAGATGGCCTGCAGTCAGCCCAGCGCCCGTGCCGAGATTGGATGGTTCTGGTTCTCAGCAGAGGCCAGCGGTTTGGGCTCACCGATACGCTATACCCTTTGGTAATCCAACACAGCACAGGGAATATTCCATTTTTGACGAATTTCAATCCGTATATCATCTACAAATGGGTAGTACGGTAGATCTCGATTTCCAGCTTGGCCCATTGGCTTAGCCGGGGTATTTGTGTAACTATAACCGCAACTATAAGTATGACAGTGTCAGATCTCTGACCTCGTGGTCCAGCGATCATTGTGGCCCACTTGGGGTAATATGGAATCGAACTCGATGAGTCTGCTGGAAGCCACGGATTTTGGTCATAAGTAGGAACCAATTTGATTTTGGAGTTCCGCAATTTTGCACCAATCTCATTGGGAATTTTGTTTGGGAAAACCAGAGGGGTCTGCCCTGGCCCCAGCCTGATTAGGTGGTTTCAAGATGTTTTCAGTGCAATTCCAGGGGGACCGTGGTGAGCCTGGGAAACATGGAACTGACCCGGAATTGGAAGATGCTTCGGGGAAGTCATAGCTACATTGTAGCGAATCTAGCTTTGGTTCAAGGCAACGCTTTCATGAAAGGGGGGTCAGATTTAGATGCCGAAAAGTAAAACTGTCGTTTCTGCAAACGTTTCAGACCCCATGAATCATGTTCCGCAGGTGATGGACATGGCATGCTTGGAGGGTGGCGTTGGAAGCCCCAGAGGATGCAGAATTCCAAAACCTGGGCAACTGGTGGCGATCAGCACGTCTGGGGGACCCCATACAACACTTTAAAATATATGTTAATGAGGAACATGATTTTAAGAAAATCATGGAAAGTTCGGGGTTCCAAAGTTTGAAACAACATCAACAACCCAAAATCATGCCAGCCCAGGGACCCTGGCAGGTGGTCAAGGTGCGAAAATGGGGCACCATGCCGGGGTTGAAAACCTTGAAAAAGCCTGGGGGATGATCACATCGAAATATGGTAATTTTATGTATTTTGGATGGTTTATGGATGGTTTTGGATGGTTTATGGTTTTTGAACATCCGTAGTTGATGGATGTGAGAATTTCATATATGGCACTGTGTCAGATCTATGGGGTGTCAATATTCCACGTAAATCTGGCGGTGGGTAAAAATATGTCACGTCCGCAAAAGAGTAGGTTTTGGCCATGTTGGTAATGAAGCATCGAATTATTTGGGACAAAAAAAGATTGGATCCAGCCCATCGACCTCCTGGGTATCCTGAGAGGTTCCATGTCACTATTGCCATCAACCATCCACCTTTGTGGAGGCCCTGTTTCCATACAGATTCCTCGGCCCCAGTTGGAAATGGATTACCATTGTACCCAGTTGGAACATGGGGATGGATCAGCACCTATTGTACCATATTGGGGGCGATGAACGTCCATGTACCAGCTATTTTGATGTTCGCCAGCGGGACAGGGCTTTGACTTTGCAGGCAGTGTCTTCGCCCTGTCTGTTCATCTTCATCTTGGAATCAGACACTCGGTTGCCTTCGTTGCCTTCGACCCACCGGCGATGCAGGTATCTACCAGGTGGATTCCAGAAACGCGTCCCAGCTCATTGTACCTTAGTTGGTATCAAATAGCTGGTACCCTCTGGTAAACTAACATAACTATTGAAAATGGCCATTTATAGTTGATTTACCCATTAAAAATGGTGATTCCCAATAGTTATGTTAAATTACCAGAGGGTAAATGGATGTGAACCCCCCAGGTATATACAGGTTCATCCCCATGGGAATCGTGCTCATTCTCATCCGTTAGGAACAAGATTCCGACCAGGCCATGAACAAGAGACGATTTGGCATTCTGCAAGTGGTTCTGGAATTTGTACTGGTATGGTAGCTGGTCTTTGCATGTATGTATATATATATATTTACACGTACATACACATGCATAGATGATGTACAACATATATCAAAATATGATCCCTGGAATCCCTTGACACATAGATTACAATGTATATCTAGATGCAAGCTACATTTCATATCTTCGGGACAAAATCCACTTGTCAATACCATAAATCCCAAGCAACCAGGATCCCGTTCTCCGAGGACCGAAACCACTTCTGGTGGCAGGTAGCAGTGCCTTGGCTCAGAAAAGGTGCGTATGTGTATGGACATGTACACAACCAATAGATACACAACTATTTAATAAGCATGATGTAAGATATAAATTTATGCGTATTTAAACATTGAAGTTGTGATATGTCGATCTGAAAGACACATTTATCAAATACTTCTTGGAACTTCCGGCGTTACAACTCAGGTTGTTTCCATCTTTTGATGTACTGTTTCAGAAGTGTTTTGTATCACCATTTTTTCCCTATCAATCCTGTTTTTGCATACTGTTACACATGTATAAATAAAATGTAGAATATGTGTAATATGTACATAGACATATATACATATGTATGTATGTATATATATATATATACGTATATGTGTATATATACATTTATAAATTATATTAAACAAAAATAAAAGAGAATCTTTTACCAATCATCTACCCCCACGGCAAGGCTGGGATGGTGGCGGCTGTGCTTCTCCTGGACGGGATTGGGATCTGTGCGATAGCATCTATACAGATCGATGTGGTCGATATGTGTATCCATTGTGAACATGAGTGTACATGAGTATGCGTATATATATATATGTATACCTCTATATGACAGAAGTACACATAATTGCATCATTATCTGTATCCATGTATTTATATGCTGGATGTATGTATGTATGAGTACATCATGGAACTAACAGTGACAACCTACGTGGGACTTCATTGACCCGTCACCCTGTGCGATCTGCAGGATCTGCTTTTTAGCTAAGACAGTCAAGGCACGGATGGGGATTCTCAAGTCATGGCCCTCATGGCTATCCTGGGGAAGTGGGGATAAATTTCGAGAAGATGGTGATTTAGCTAGGGCATTGGATGGGGGATTTGCTGGGAACATATGGATACTGAAGAGACTGATCAATTTTGATAAATATCTCTGTTGATTTGGTGACCACAGGACGTTATACTAGCTGTTACTAGCTGGTTTTGATGGGCATTATGAACTCACCCAGAAAAGGAATATACGTACCAAAGCGTACTATGGGATGGCATAGGCATCAGGCAATTTTTGATTTGGAAAGTGATGATAAAGCCTGGGATTTTGAGGTGCCAAATCAAAAACGAATGTAGAGATTGAAAATGAACAAAATGAGGATGTGATGCAGAATGATGCAGAAATTATAACTGTAATCACCAGCTTGTCAAAGATCAACCAGCAGGCCAGGACAACCGATCAAAAAAAGAGAGGGGTTTAACGACACTGCTGACTTGAATACTGCATGGAGGTCTGTGATTTTGTATGTACACATACATAGCCATCACAGGCGCATAAATGAGATAAATATTGCCACCATGTGTGATCATCTACAAAGACATAAAGGTATGTGCAAATAGTTAATAGGACCCATCCAATATTAAACACCCCCAGAAACCATGGTTTAGCAATGTTTAGTAGGGGATTTACACACATTTGGGACCATTTATATATGGTTGGGGATGGGATTAGCTAGCCTCAGCCTGCTGACAACTGAGTCGGTGCCCTTGAGTCCGAATCTCTAAACTCATCAGCCTTCGCGTTGATGGCAACCGGAGACCGGAGACCAAGCACTTTGATTGGCAGTGGTCAATTTGTCCATGGTTTCATAAGGTGCAGACAATCGTCCACCTGTGTTTAAAACTTCAACTATCAGTTTTCCATAGTTTTCCCCCCTGAACTGGGGATGTAGCAGTAAACAACTCAAGAACCAGAGCTCTCCGACCCACATCAGCCATACCCCAGTGGCCAGGGAAGTCGGCTCAACGGCTCAACCTTGTCCATTTGCATTGGAAAAAGGGCGTCCGGCTGCCTTGGAAATGGCCGTATCAATTGGGAAAATCGACGAAACTCAGGGGCTCTGAGTTCCTCAAAAAAGGACCATGGGCAAATCCCGAAAAAACCAAGGCTGGGACCATGAGTGATTATTGCTGAGAAGACCTTGGTTGAAACAATCCAGGTGGTCGGAGTATCAGAAATCCAAGGGGCTCTGATCGTTGTGTCCCTTGTGTGGGCACATTGGGGGCTGCTGGCGACCTTGAAAATAGCTGCAAAATTTGATGATTACAGATGATTTACCTGTGAAACATGGTGATTTTTCAGTTCGCAAAGTGTTGAGTTCGAGGGTACATGGATGTTCATTCAGTTCATTCCCCCAAATTTATGATATTTATGGAAAACAATAGGTTTTGATTTCAGCGGCTTGGACCAGCGACCCGACACAGCCCAAGCTTGGGCCGATCCCATGAAGCACCCGGCGATGTTCAAGGCCGCGATGTTTGGAACATGGAGAGCAGTCACCCCGGAAAGTGGATTCTCCGGTGCTGGGAATTCATGAAAATGGGTCATTTTCAATAGGTCCAATAGGTCAATGATCTTTAAAATGTGCAATGTGAAAACCAGAAGCTAATTGATTGTGAGTTAATCTCGTTGGATGAAGTATGATGAAGTAATGAAAACTATCCCAATTTTGGCCTGTGCCTCGGACCAAGACGGTGTAGGGTCACACTTTTTATTCCCCGACCTTCTGAAATTTGGTACTCTCACTGGTGGTATTGGTGGATGTGGCCGGTTGCAAATTTCAAACATCTTTCCAATTTCAATTTTTTATCATAGAAATGGGATGATGCCCAATGAGTGACATATTTAAACCTGGCCGGTGGTTCAACCATCAGCCAGCTCAACATGGCCATGGCTTTCTCTGTGACTCTCGGATTGCTGCTGCTGACTCTCGGATTTGCTGTGGATTTGCAGGAGAGAGCAGTTAGACTCTGTGATGAAAGGAGAAACAGCTTGGCCGTGCTGCCGAAGATGAAACTCACATTTTTCCGGATCTTACTGTTCACGAAAACCGTGCTATCTGGGATGATTGTCCAATGTCATTGTTTTTCTTTGAACCCATCCGACATTTCTGGCTCTGCAAGTTTCTCTTTGTCGTGATTCAGGTTACAATGTCATAGGCACATATACCATTTACTCAAAAACTTGGTGGCAAAAATGTTCATCAATTTTCCCTGTATCTCTAGAGGAAATCGGTGTGCCATTCGTGGACCCAATACGTGCCTATAAACAGTTCGTCATTCTGAGGCCCCATACTGAACACCATCTAAAACCATCCAAAATAGGCTGAAAATGGTCGAAAATAATCCCAAATAAACCAAACTCAATCCAAACTCATCTATATAAAGCCATCCAAAATCAACGGAATAGTCAAAAATCATCTAAAATAACCCAAAACCATCTTGATAAATAATTCGAAATCATCTAGATAATATTAGAGAATCTAAAATCATGTGCGACAATCTAAGATCATCTAAAAGAATATGATTTTGATCCCCATATTTGGATGGCCAATGGGCCAAGCTCAGCTGTGGAGGAGCTCGAAACGAAGATCTCGGGTCCCAAAGAGGATCTCTTGAGGTCGGGCACCTGAGCGTTTCGGATGGTTTTTTCAGATGTTTTTTTTGTTTGTTTTTTGGAAGATAAGGCCTATATATATATATATACAAGCTATAAAATAGAACAATACAGAAGTTTTAGTAAAAACTAATTCATGGTATCCGCATACTTTTTTCGTTGAGGTCCAAATTTTGGGTGTCATTTCTTTTTTTGGTCGACTTTGCTGGGAGTTGAGACGGGTAAAATTTATCTTAAAGATCAGCAATCCATTATAGGACCTTCCCCAAAAACGGGGGTTTATATGGAGAGGAAAAGTTGGAGGTGTTGCGATACCTTGTGCCTGGTTCGATCTTGATCATGTTTTTCCAGATGCGCAAATCACAGCAATAGGTTGGTCTCAAAAGAAGAAGGAAAACAAATGGAGAGTTGTTACAGGGTGAAATCCTGAACAATTTCTGGACCATATTCTATCATCATTCACATCCTTATCACCGCGCACCCAGGTCCTATCTTAATCATTCACACCCAGATTCTTGGTAAAGGATATCGCATTTTTACTACCAACCAGCAATATTTTCACTAGTTGACATCTCTTTTATCATATCCTCATTCTATTCCATGAAATCCCCATGAAATCACAATCAACTCCCATTGAAATCCCCATTAAAAACATCCCCCTTTATATCCGGGTGATCTCAGTTGCGCCTGGTGCTTCAGGGGCCTCCTGTGGCCCAGCGCATGGCCGTTGCGGTCCGAGCACCTACAGAGGCGCGGACGCTTCGGAACGGACCTCCGTGGGTCTTGAGGGGGATAGACTGCAAAACACATTGGATCAATGGGAATTTCAGGATCCTAGAATTTCAGGATTTAGGTTCCTGAAATGGCCATTGATTGTATTTGATGATATGTTTGTTCGGATACAATGGGATATACTGGGATTTAAAGATATTTCAAGGGATTTAGTGGGAATTGTGTTGGACCATTTATCGGGATATATCATGGGATGATCTGTTTTACCAAGCATTGGGAATGGGATGATTTACCAGTTGAATATCGAAATATGGCGCTTTAGCTGCAGAAATATGGTGATATCATGGGGAGATATGATAATATGGGATATTTAAGCCAACCAAATATGATATTTTTGGGTTTGTCTGAAAATGGCGGATTGAGACCCATACGAAATTGAATAGGGAAGACAAGGCTACTTTACCCTGGGATTTTTGGTTTTGGTGATGTTTTCCTTTTGTACGCAGATCATTTTGAGGAGCAACAAAGATGGCTATGGACCACACATCGTTGATGTTTGTTGGGTGGTCAACCTTGATTGGCTACGGACCACAGGGATATGTTTGGTTTGACCCACTAAACTCTTGGGTTTCCCAAGTGATCCCCAAGCGATCCCGTTACCACAGATAACGTAGACTTGCAACCATGATTAGTGAGTGCTAGTAGGAAGCATAGTTTCTAACGGGCCAACCTTATGCTTCTTCCATGTTGTTGGTGATACAACGATAGTTCCATAAAACTATACAGCAACTTTATAGCTGAACAGGCCTTTGATATAATGGTTTTTGTTACACTAGCACTTGGTTTTCCCCGGAATATCTCTACTTGGATCAGCGGATAATGGGCAATCCTTTTTGCCGGGGTTAGCCCATTTCCTAAGTGGGTTTGAACTTTGAACGGTGCTTCCTATCCAGTTTTCCCCATATTTACGGGGATCAGATTTGGCCAAAAGATGGCTGGGAATTGGTTGGAATTCTTATCCCAAAGCAGTGTGGGGATCATTGATCTCACGTTGATTTTTATGGACAGGTGCCCAACATGGGACCTGGTCATCCAGCAAACCTGGCATTGGAAAATCCTTGTCGTCACAATCCACATTTTTCTGTTTTGCCCAGACAAATTGTACCATTGTACCATGCTTTCCCTGGATTCTCCTGGGCATTACCACTCCGAGAACCTTGACCTTTCGGTCGATGGTCGGCATTGATTTTCCATTGATCCAATTTTCCATATCCCATAGCGATATTTGATGATATTTGTTTAAAACAAACCCAAGAAAGTTATAACATTTAATGCCAACATCGGATTAATCAACCCCCCCCCACCTGGTAGGTAGGGGGTACCTTCTGGCTAGTTTCTTGACCACCCCTTAATAGTAAACAAATCCATCTTGCGATATTTTCTCATAGCCAACCCTTGTTCATCTCTTTTCCCCGTTTCGCAGGATGGACGAGTCCGAGGACCAAGAGTTCTATGGCCAAGCGCGGCTGGTGACCCACATCGACGATGCCGCCATTGGCGCCTCGGATGGATTGGTTTAAGGGAACATTAGCCTCTGGTAATTTAACATAACTATTGAACATGACCATTTATAGTGGATTTTCCCATTGAAAATGGTTATTTTCCATAGCTATGTTAGTTTACCAGAGGGTATTTGCTGGGAAAAGCCATGGCTTCCGGTTAAGATTTTCCCGAATAAACCAATCCAATGAACACACGGATCAAGCAACTAGGGGATTGAACCGAAGGTGTGTTGATCGTGAGGATACGAGCCCTGATAGTCGTTTGATGGGTAAGGTCACAGCTGATCCAATAACTGATTTGCTGATCCAATATGGTAGCCATCTCAAGCAACTAATAGATTTGGGGAAGTCAGAGGATGAAGTGGAGACCATTGGTTTTGATCATTCGAAGGGTAATCAATTTTGGCCGTTTAGCAGGAACGCCCTTCGAATGTTTCAGGGGTCACTTTGGGTGGGTCAGTCGGGATCCACAGGTTTGTACAGATTTGGGATGAAGACTCACACTTGAATCGAGCGGCTTTTCATCTTCTCAAACAACATATGGCTATGGATCAATACCTATAAATACCATTTTTAGTGGGATGAACATCCATAAATCCCAGCTATTTTGATGTGAACTACAGGGGTATAGGGTTTTGACCCATATCCATATCCGGATATATCCACTGTACGCTGTTGATCCCAACCGAAAGGAAAGCGTAGAGACATGGGCCGTTTCAGATAGGTTTCTATCGTGACACATTGGTAATCAAAGATGGCAATGGAAACCACTGATGCTTGAGAATCCATTGCCATGTTTGATTCCCAAAAGCAATCCAGAACCGCACTGGGACTTCACTGGGGCAGTAGCATTCCCTTATGACTTGCAGGGGCGTGTCATGGCGTGTCGTTTCGCAGGTGCACTCCGCCGGTACTATGAAGTGCCTTGGTTGTCACATGGGCCATGGGGGTACCCATGAAATCCATGAAGTGGTATGGGGGGAACCCAATAAGGTCCTGCAAACAGCTGATTTGGATCAGTTTTGGTAGGCCATCCCAATAAAAAAATCCATGAATTTGCGGTTTTTGATGTTCCTACCGCAGTTACCGATCCTCTTTAAGTCTCTATTTGGATATACGTCAAATTTTATTTTTGTGGAATCTGCACTGTTGTTGGTTAGATATGATCACCAATCGTGTCTATTCGTCACCTCCTCAACCTTGTTAGCATGAACAAATGTGTTAACTGCAAGGCCCTGTTCTACTGCCAGGTGCATTTTCATGCAGGGGCTGCTGTGTTGGATCTCTGCTCTTCGTGGATCAGCCATTTTCCAGCTGTGCGCGGCTCGACGGCTTTTTGCGAAGCGGCTAAAGGGTGGTTTTCAAGTTTTGTCTTTGTGATTTTCCATTCCTATTTGGAATGATGATCCCCATTATACTGTATATAAATAAATAGATACACATATTTGTTTAAAAAGTGTTTGAACACAAACCAGGCTGTTTGTTTCCGACTTGGGGTTTAGGTTGGATTGATTGGTGCAGGTTGGTGGGGGATGACCATGGTGGAAGTTGATGCTCCCGAAAGCTTCCCCGTCAGAGGCAGCTTGTGGCTACCACATTCTCCATTGAATGTTGGATGTTGGGCAGGATATTTACAAATTTCATAAGATATTGCAAGTAACATACTGTATTCATTGGATATTCATTGGACATTCCATAGGATGTGGGACATTTTGTTTGGATGAACATGTTCATATCATGTTCATATATACGGTACATACTTAAAACACAATCATCAGGTTTGATGGGAATGTTATTAAAAATGAGCCAGGTTTAGCTCGCGCCGTGGGCATTGGCATGAACGCTGACGAACTGGCGCGGAACGAACAGCTCACCGAGTGGACTGTGAAGGATTTGAACAAGGCGCCTTTGTCAGCTGAGCCCCAGATTTTGAAGGCAACAGTTAGCTGTAAGCCATGGTTATAAACCATATCAGCCATATCCAACTATAAAGCAGCAACAGTTAGGTTATAGTCAGCTGTTTTCCCAAGATTTGAAGGCACCAGAGGCCAAGATCCAAGCCAAGATGGAACTTTTGGAGTTGATATAAAAAGGGGCCAAAAGATCAAAGACCAGCAGAATGGTGAGGGGTTTAACCGTTTTCCCCCGATCATGATGGAAATCCTCCCTATCAACCCGAGCTTAGTATGGGATCTATCAAAATGTGCGGGTCCGACAAATGGGGATATGACAAATTATGGATCCCATCCCAAAATCCCAATATGAAATACCTCCCTTGGAAACCATGGTGGATGTAGGGAATTGGGACAGGGGGATGGGATGACGAATTAAGCACACTGAAGGACCCGACGTTGAACTTTGAAGACGAGACCTTTGACTTTGTGGTGAATGCAGTTTCCTGGCGCTGTGATAGGAGGCTGACTTATGATGTAACGTGCTTGTTGGTTTCAGATGAATATGACTTTCTACCAACATTTATATAACATTAAACCGAGTTGACTCAATGGCAAAAATCTGAGAATGGTTGCTTTTTTGGGGGGCCAAGCTGAGATGAGTTATTTCCCTGATACATCCTGAGACTAGTGGAGAACCATCCAATGTTCAGGTTTTTTCAATGTCAAACTTGGTATATCAGGGATCTAAAATGGCGGCACTCGCCTTACAAACATCTGCCAGGTAGCTGATAAGCTATTTTGACTTCCATTCCCATGTATCCTCACATGTACGACACAGATCATATACATATATACATATATATATATATACACATACATACATACATTACATTACATTACATTGCATTGCATTGCATTGCATTACATTGCATTACATTCCATTACATTACATTACATACATTACATACATTACATTACATTACATTACATTATAATACATTATACATTACATACATTACAATACATTACATACATTACATACATTACATTTACATACATTACATACATTACATTACATACATACATTACATACATACATACATACATACATACATACATACATACATACATACATACATACATACATACATACATACATACATACATACATACATACATACATACAACATACATACATACATACATACATACATACATACATACATACATACATACATACATACATACATACATACATACATACATACATACATACATACATACATACATACATACATACATACATACATACATACATACATACATACATACATACATACATACATACATACATACATACATACATACATACATACATACATACATACATACATACATACATACATACACACATACACATACATACACACATACACACATACACACATACACACATACACACATACCACATACACACATACACACATACACACATGCACACATACACACATACACACATACACACATACATACATACACACACACATACACACATACACACATGCACACATGCACACATGCACACATGCACACATGCACACATGCACACATGCACACATACACACATACATTACATACATTACATACATACATACATTACATCATACATACATTACATACATTACATACATTACATACATTACATACATACATACATTACATACATTACATACATTACATACATTACATACATTATACATACACATACATTACATACATTACATACATTACATACATTACATACATTACATACATTACATACATTACATACATTACATACATTACATACATTACATACATTACATACATTACATACATTACATACATTACATACATTACATACATTACATACATTACATACATTACGTACATTACATACATTACATACATTACATACATTACATACATTACATACATTACATACATACATACATACATACATACATACAATTTATATATACAATCCCCCTTGGAATTTCCACTAAAGAATGGGACAACCCGGGTTGTCGCATTTTTTTTCTAAAACAGGTTGTTTTTCCACATGGCTAACCCGGACTCCCCATTTTTTGCAAAGGCTTTCTGGGTCAGGATTTTTTAGAGAGGGCATTTTGAGAGGGAATCGACAAACTGATTGAATTTTTGGGCACATGTGGTATTTTTATACATGTTGACATCCACATGGCTAACATGGACTCCCTACTTTTTAGAGTTCTGCATTTGTATTTGTAGTTTTTTTGAAATTTTGTATTTTTTTGTAGTTGGATGCCTGGGCCATGATTTTTTAGATGGTCTTAGACCCCCTTGCACCCTGGGTAGGCATTCTTTAGATGTGCCATTTCAGTAGTGCAAGGTGGGCCACCGTTTTTTGTCTAAAGAATGCTGGAGTCCATGTTAGCAGGGGAATTCCAACAGTGATTATATACATATATATATATATACATAGATATATGTACTGTGTATATATATATATATATGTATAAAATTATATATACGTATTTATACATATGCATAATAATACTACATGAATATTGTTGAACAAAATACCACCAGACTGCAAGCTCCTGTGAATCTGACGGTGCCTTCAGTCGAAGATGGCTCAGGTGAGTGTGGATTATTTGGTGCACCCTCTGGAGATCTTCAAGGAGATGTTGCGGGTGTTGAAACCTGGTGGTATGGCGTAACTTGGCGCCGTTTTGGACCTCTGGACAGGGCATTTGGGCATGGTGGGGCTGTCTTTTTTGAGGGCCAGGTTGAGGTTTTTAGAGGTGCAAGTGGGCAGGATTCGAGAATTATGGAAAATTCATAGACTCCATGTTTTTCTCAAATGACTTTGGACTTTGAACCCTAGATTTTCTGGCCCACGATTGAAATCTATCCTCAAAAATCGGCCAAGCATTCGCTGTCATTTCTGCGATGATGTTGTTTTGGCCCAAAAATCAAGATTATTCAGAATTATTCAGTCATTGATTTTGAGCCAAGGTTTAGACAAACACCTAATATTCCCTCAAGAATCACCTTAGTCCGAAGGACGATCCTAAGGACGTTGTTTGGTGTGATTGGTGATTGGTTCAGATTCGATAGTCCCTTGATGTCCCGCATGTCACATCCTCAGATTTCCTCGTTCTGCCATGTTCTGCCCGCATGTTGATTGCTTGATATTCCCATGTTGGTTCACAGATCTGCCAATTTACATGGATTGAGTCCTGTTTGCCAAGGATCCATTCCGATTTTCTGTGGGTCGAAATCTGTGGGTTAACAGAAATCGCTATCTCCATCTCGATGATTCGATTCCCGGAATCAAACATGGCAATGGACATTTGCAACATTTCTAGAAAAAAAATCCAAAAAACAACTCCATTTGCAGGGGAGTTCCATTGTTTGATCGGTCTATAAAGCAAAACTGCACCGGTTTTGACACCTACTAATGCAGATAGCCTGGCCTGTTAGCTTCAGCAATTTCCCCAGTGCTGCCGACGGCCATATCCTCCTGAATGCACCGGATCTCTTTTGACCTCCGAAATTAAGCAGGAGAGAGCCCGCGCAGTACTGACCTAGGGGACTGGTTGGGAAGTGCTTAGGGTTTTTTCCCATGGATTTTCCCATGGATTTTCTCAGGATCATGGGCTTCAGCAACCGCTTCTTCGGCACCAAAGCCATCAAACTTTGGCTGGTGCCGGGGCCCGGGGGATCATGGGATGAGATTGGATGAGTAGTTTCTTAGCAATTTGAAATTGGGATTTCTTACCAACAGTTTACCATGGAAATATCATGGGAATATCATGGAAATATGATGGGAATATTGAATTGGATTACCCGGCCTGGCAATGACTCACTGGTAATGACTATCGAACATGGCCATAGAAATAATGAATTTTCCCCGGAAACATGGTGGATCTTTCCATAGTTATGTAATCGTTTACCAGAGGGTACTCCAGGAACCATTGAAAAATGAGCTGTGTTAAAACTAGACGACGGATGGCCCGAGAGCGTAGAGGAGCAGGGTCTTCTCTTGTTAGTATGGAGATGCAATTTTAGAAACGGTATATGAAAGCTGTGTTATAGGCAGCCGAGAAGAGGAGTATCAAGACAGGATAGTGAGAAGTGCAAGACACTAGTTTGCATCGCAAACACTTTTACACACAGACGCTTTTACACAGATGCTTTTACACACAAAGCTTTTACACAGAAGCTTTTACACAAACACTTTTGCACAAACACTTTTACACACAGAAGCTTTTACATACAAACACTTTTACACACAGATGCTTTTACACACAAACGCTTTGACACACAGACGCTTTTACACACGGACGCTTTTTACACACAGACGCTTTTTACGCACAGACGCTTTCACACACAAACACATTTACACACAGAGGCTTTTACACAAACACTTTTACACAAACACTTTTACACACAAACACTTTTACACACAGACGCTTTTACACACAGACGCTTTGACACACAGACGCTTTTACACACAGACGCTTTTACACACAGAGACTTTTACACACAGACACTTTTTACACACAGGCGCTTTTACACACAGACAAGAACGGCACAAGTAAAATCGCAATTTTACCTCAGTTTTTGCCGATCGACCCTCATTTCGTGCGAAAGGGTTGCTCCGGGACAACTAAAATCGCAATTTTACATCAGTTTTTGCCGATCGACCCTCATTTCGTGCGAAAGGGTTGCTCCGGCACAAGTAAAATCGCACTTTTACCTCAGTTTTTGCCGATCGACCCTCATTTCGTGCGAAAGGGTTGCTCCGGCACAAGTAAAATCGCAATTTTACCTCAGTTTTTGCCGATCGACCCTCATTTCGTGCGAAAGGGTTGCTCCGGCACAAGTCAAATCGCACTTTTACCTCAGTTTTTGCCGATCGACCCTCATTTCGTGCGAAAGGGTTGCTCCGGCACAAGTCAAATCGCAATTTTACCTCAGTTTTTGCCGATCGACCCTCATTTCGTGCGAAAGGGTTGCTTTAGCACAAGTAAAATCGCAATTTTACCTCAGTTTTTGGCGATCGACCCTCATTTCGTGCGAAAGGGTTGCTTTAGCACAAGTCAAATCGCACTTTTGCCTCAGTTTTTGCTGATCGACCCTCATTTCGTGCGAAAGGGTTGACGTTTCGTGACTCTCCGCCGGCACCACCCTCGGCCTAAAGAGAGAAAGATAAAGAAGGCGAGAGAGAGAAAAAGGAGAGAGAAAGGAGAGAAGATGTGAAGGTGAGAAGATGTGAGAGAAGGTGTGAAGATGAGCAGATGTGAAGATGGGCAGATGTGAGAGAAGATGTGAAGATGAGCAGATGTGAAGATGAGCAGATGTGAGAGAAGATGTGAGAGGAGATGTGAAGATGAGCAGATGTGAAGATGCGCAGATGTGAGAGAAGAAGAGGAGATGTGAGAGAAGATGTGAGAGAAGATGAGCAGATGTGAAGATGAGCAGATGTGAAGATGAGCAGATGTGAGAGAAGATGTGAGAGAAGAGATGAAGATGAGCAGATGTGAGAGAAGATATGAAGATGAGCAGATGTGACGATGAGCAGATGTGAGAGAAGATGTGAAGATGAGCAGATGTGAAGATGAGCAGATGTGAAGATGAGCAGATGTGAGAGAAGATGTGAAGATGAGCAGATGTGCAGATGAGCAGATGTGAGAGCAGATGTGAGAGAAGATGTGAAGATGAGCAGATGTGAAAATGAGAAGGTGTGAGAGAAGGTGTGAAGATGAGAAGGTGTGAAGATGAGAAGGTGTGAAGATGAGAAGGTGTGAAGATGAGAAGGTGTGAAGATGAGAAGATGAGATACAGACCCCCACTATTGGAAGAACCCTGCGCTCAGACGCTCTCGGGAAAAATCCTTTGTTTGTTGATGATGTTGATGATTGGTTTGGGGTTATACGCTTATACTATCCAATATTGGGGATGATCATCATCTATGAAATGGGACATCCGTTCTTAAGCAGCCAGTATTTATCGGGACGAGACAGCCCTGGTGACTGGTGGTTGATTATGATGGCTACTCCAATACGGGAAATCCATGAAATTTCTACCATTGGTTTATTGGTTTTTTATTTCTATGATCCCACGATCTATAGCAGTAAAGAAAAACTGAGCAGCGTGTCCCATTTTTAAACAAGCAGTGCAGGAAATATGGGTATGTCTGAAAATGGGGTATACCCCCAATTATAGCCATTTAGTAGGGATAATGATCATTAACCATTGGGTGTAGGGGTACACTATTTTCAGACAAACTCATATGTTTGTTTGTGGATTGGTGTACTCGGTGCATTCAACGTTGCAGCCCGATGTTGTTTTGGGTCGGAGGAGATCAGTGAGCTCCAACGATGTCAGGCGCATCAGGTTTTCTACCCACAAATGGAAGTCTGAATGGGAAAAATCATCTAAAAATGGAGGTTTCTAGTTGGGAAAATCACCTATAAATGATGGATTTTCCATTGCCACAATTGGTTACTGGAGGGTTTGTATTTGTATTTCATATCTACCCTCGGATCCTTCTGGTAGAAGAGTCGGCCCATGAAAGTAGATGATTTGCCTATTCAAAACGACGATTTTCCATAGCTGTGTTAAATTGCTGGAGGGTAATGTCGAACCTCTACACTATCCAACAACCTATGTCTATAATTTTCTCTATATAGATTAGATTATATAGATTAGATTGGATTAGGTGAGATTAGATGAGATTAGATTAGATTAGACAGACAGACAGACAGAGGACAGACAGACAGATAGATATCTACTATCCACTGTCCAGTAGCTACTACAGTATTTAGCATGTACTACCGACTATCTACATTTTTATCTATGTAATGTATGCATATAACCCCTACTCAAGTTGCAAAATGTAACGCCCAGGGGAACAGAGATTTTGCTCCGTTTTTGTCGCAAACCATTCTGCTTTTGGGCTTCATATCCCCAACTTATTGGTTTTATCCCGGACCTTCCAATGTTCAGCATTCAACCACCCAATGGTGACCCGTATCCATTTATTCCTTGGTAAATGGCTGTCCCTTTAAACCCTCATTGTTTCCTTGGGTCTTTAGGAAATGTACGTATATTATATTATATTATATTGTATTATATTGTATTATATTATATTATATTATATTCTATTCTATTATATTATGTTATATTATATTATATTATATTCTATTCTATTCTATTATATTATATTATATTATATTATATTATACGCTATATATATATATCATCCCTGCTTGTAAACGGCAAACTCCCAAATAAAGGGCATGGAGCAGAACGCCGTAACTGCAATTGGCCTACATACTTGGAGGATCAGCCCACGAATCGCAACTGGTGAACATATTCCTGGTGATTGTAAGTTCTTGATTCACGGCTTGACCCATCCATAAATGGGCGAACTAACACGTTTTTTTTTTTTTTTAACTACTTAGTGAGTTGGTTTATAACCCCCCATCAACTATGATATGTCTAATGTCTAATGTCTACCATAAATCCTAGTGAGATGTTACAAGACAACAACTGGGTGTAGGATGATCTTCCACCGCCACCAGGTGGTCTCATGGTATTTCCACTTCGCGGGCTTCCGACAAATTCGTGCCAAGGCTATGGCCAGGGATGGGTTGCTTGTGGAAAAGCATGGAAAATCCGCAGGACACCATGTTTTTTTCCCTCCCCGGTAAGACAATCCTGGGAGGGTCAGTAGTGGTAAAGTCTTAAGAAGCTGGTTGAAGTTGAATTTTGTCAAGTGGGATGGGAATTGTCTGGTTCCCAGGGTGGATTCAAGCACTCAAGACCCCATCAAAAAAGGTCAACCAATTGTCAGAAAAATATCAAACAACCGCCAGACCTTTAAGAAAAAATATTCACGGACTTGGAAGAGCTGTTGCCCTAGTCTTTCAAGATCAGCGCTGGGAAGGCACTTCATTTGGAAACCAAATGGGATAATACGAGCAAAGAAATGGGGATGTTCGCTAGCAAAAAAATGAACGCAACAAGCAAAACCGGGACATTAAACAGCAAACATGGTCAACACTAGTGAGATTAACTAGCGCATATGGCCATAGCTTAAGATTCTCAGACCTTAAACTCATTGGATTCAACCTTTGCATGGTTTGCCGGGTACCCAACGACTTGATTAACAACCAGATGAGCACCTCCTTTTGAATGGTCCCTCAAAATAGGGCCATGTCTGGGTCATGTGTGCCTCTCTATGTGGAAACAGCGCGCAACTCAACAGGGGCAGAGCTATGGCTATCAGAACCGTTGCTTGCGAAACAGCCGGGAACGGCTCAATTTTTTGATGACTAGCCCGGGCCCCACAATTTGGTTTACCCGCTGGTAATCAAACATGGTTTGCTGGAAAACCCACAATTTTTAGATGTTTTTCCCATAAACACCCAACATGTACCACTCAAAAATTACTGGCAAAGGGTGCTCCAAAGCAGTACCCGATTTTGGGTCGCCCTCAGTTGCCCCGTGAGGAAATCACGGCGAAGGGGGGCCGCGATCCGATGTACGTGGCTTGGCGAAAGGCCCCTTCTTCCAAATGAGCAGTGTCCCAAATACTTGGTTGATGGTTATACAAGTGAAGCTAACTTAAGTTGTATGGGATTTATTCTGCAACATATGCCCTCAAGCTATATTAGCTGGACCGAATGGGTAGATTCTGATCCCTTGTCAGGACTGCCGAGCGCTGAGGATTTCGTGGCAGTATGGCCAGACCAAGAATTGGGAACGTTCCAACTGTCCGCCAACATTACGAAAGCTATGGATTGGTGACACTTTGGGACCCCAGAATTTGTTTAGCCGGCCTTAAATTTCAGCATCGTTGCAGCAACGTGGGACTCCCTAAATCCCTCAACATGAGCTCTTCACATCCCCATTTCAGTTGGTTTTGCCCTGAGAAATCGCTGCTGTTGTTGGGATTTCGACCATTGGCTACTGACAATGGCTATTTACCTATTGATAAGGCTCCAGCTTGCCATAATCTTGGTGCCCAGGCTTCATATCAAATCATATCAATACTTACACACACATTCATATGTCGATTACATATATAATCATACGTATATATATATAAAATAACAATTACGAGTATATATATATATATAGTTATACATATATATATAGATGATGTACACAGCTGGTGCCTCCCTATTTCTCTCGGTCAACAACGCACAATGATTCCTGTTACATCCCCATCAGTTCTGAAGCCACCCATTTTCCGAGTCGAGGTCGTTGAGGGCGTGAAGGCCCCCATTTCCGACGAGCTTTGATCCGATCAGGAGATGGCCGCTGTCACACTGGAACCAAAGATGGCCGGGGAGTTCAACATCAAGAGGGAAAAAGAACAATCACCCAATTGGGCCTACATGTCATACATATATATACGCGCAACGCCTGGGTTCTGCCCAGGCGTTGCAGCGTATATATCTAAAATTCACAAACAAATGATATTGCAAATTACAGTAATTCCTTTGGGAAAAATAACAAAGGTATTAGGGACTATTAAACAAACAGGGTCAAAACACCCGAAATTCCTATGGGAAAAACAAAACAGCATAATATTTGAAATTTCTATGAGAAAAACAGAAAAGGTACTAGGAAATTTTAAACTCTCAAATCGTGAAACTTAACATTCAATTAGGAAGATCAACAAAGATATTAGGGAATGTTAAGCTCCCACCCCCATTAAACCTTAAATTCCTATGGGAAAAACAGCAAAGGTACTAGGGACTATTTAAGAAAAAGGCTCAACACACCCGAAATTCCTATGGGAAAAACAAAAACGGTATTAGGAAATATTAAACTCCAACCCCCGTTAAACTTTACATTCAATTGGGAAGATCAACAAAGATATTAGGGAATATTAAAACTCCCACTGCCGTTAAACTTCTACATTCACTGAAGATCTTCAATAAGGGTTTAATGGTCCCACCCCCGTTAAACTTCTACATTCATTGAAGATCTTCAATAAGGGGTTAATTCTCCCAACCCCGTTAAACTTCTACAGTCATTGAAGATCTTCAATAAGGGTTTAATTCTCCCACCCCCGTTCAACTTCTACACTCATTGAAGCTCTTCAATAAGGGTTTAATTCTCCCACCCCCGTGAAACTTCTGCGTTCATTGAAGATCTTCAATATAAGGGTTTAATTCTCCCACCCCCGTGAAACTTCTACATTCATTGAAGATCTTCAATAAGGGTTTAATTCTCCCACCCCCGTGAAACTTCTACATTCACAGAAGATCTTCAATAAGGGTTTAATTCTCCCACCCCCGTTAAACTTCTACATTCATTGAAGATCTTCAATAAGGGTTTAATTCTCCCACCCCCGTTAAACTTCTACATTCAATGAAGATCTTCAATAAGGGTTTAATTCTCCCACCCCCGTTAAACTTCTACATTCATTGAAGATCTTCAATAAGGGTTTAATTCTCCCACCCCCGTTAAACTTCTACATTCATTGAAGATCTTCAATAAGGGTTTAATTCTCCCACCCCCGTTAAACTTCGACATTCATTGAAGATCTTCAATAAGGGTTTAATTCTCCCACCCCCGTTAAACTTCGACATTCATTGAAGATCTTCAATAAGGGTTTAATTCTCCCACCCCCGTTAAACTCTTACATTCATTGAAGATCTTCAATAAGGGTTTAATTCTCCCACCCCCAGTAAACTTCTACATTCATTGAAGATCTTCAATAAGGGTTTAATTCTCCCACCCCGTTAAACTTCTACATTCATTGAAGATCTTCAATAAGGGTTTAATTCTCCCACCCCCGTTAAACTTCTACATTCACTGAAGATCTTCAATAAGGGTTTAATTCTCCCACCCCCGTTAAACTTCTACATTCACTGAAGATCTTCAATAAGGGTTTAATTCTCCCACCCCCGTTAAACTTCTACATTCATTGAAGATCTCCAATAAGGGTTTAATTCTCCCACCCCCGTTCAACTTCTACATGCATTGAAGATCTTCAATAAGGGTTTGATTGATGATGATGATGATGATGATGCGTCGCCCGTCGTCGTTGCGGGTCCGGGCAGAACCCAGGCATTTGCCGTATATATATATAAAAATAGTATGTATTATAATATTATAATATGTATGATTGTGTATGTAATATACATATGGCATTATGGGTTTGTGCAATATGGTGATGGGTCCCTCGTTGA